ACAGATAAAAACCAGCCTGCATCATATACAGGACACTACAAACATTTCTCGGTATTATACTCTACTCAATACTATTCTGGAAGTTCGTCTAGAACAATAGAGGGAAAGCAATGAAAGCACTTGTAGTAGGAACATATTGACAGTTACCAAGCTCAAGAATTCGGAAGGAAGTGTTTACTAAAGCAGCCATGGAGTTCCATTACATAGGCTACAGCAGCCAAAACAGTTATGGGAAAACAGGACCCTGTTCAGAATATGGGACTGAATGATGTTTTTGGAATAATTAAAACTACCTCCATCAGAGAGCTAGAGATGATGGCTTGGAAGACATGACGAGGATGAAAGGAACTGGCCAACATAGGCGTCTGTACCTTGGGGCAAATAGCCCCTTGAACCCACCACCACCCCACTCTCTTCAAATATAATTGTGTAGCGAGTATGGCCGCTGAGTCACCCCCCCCCCCCCGTCCCCGCCATATTTGTCTAAGGAGACTAAGAAGTCCCTCTAACTATGTCATCATCATCATCATGATGTAGCAGGTGCTTTGCAGAAGGTGGCACTCATCAGGGTCTGCTTGAAAGAAACTCAATCTTTCGCCAGCGTCGTGCCCTTTCATGACCAAGGAGTCACTTATATATATAGATGTGCCCTTTCATGACCAAGGAGTCACTTATATATATAGATGTGCCCTTTCATGACCAAGGAGTCACTTATATATATAGATGTGCCCTTTCATGACCAAGGAGTCACTTATATATATAGATGTGCCCTTTCATGACCAAGGAGTCACTTATATATATAGATGTGCCCTTTCATGACCAAGGAGTCACTTATATATATAGATGTGCCCTTCTTCGTGTTGATCGACCCTTCACCCCCCCCCCCCTCTTCCCCCTTTCTCCACCTTTCCTGGTACTATACCTTTTGCAAATTGTATATTCCGAACCTGACATGTTGCTTAATATGACCAAAATCTCAGACTATGTAGGTAGGTTGGTAAGTTGTACCCCACCAGCACATGCCACAAGTGATAAACACCAGGTGACACAAAGTGCCACAATGCGGATGAGGATCACCCCTGGAGAGGTCTGGAAAACCCCATTCAACCGTTAGGCCACATTTAGGGCACGGCTTTACTTTGATTAGTCGGCTATATTTAGAAAAATTAGCGTCTATGACTTAGACGTAGCGAACGCGCTTGTAATGCCGGGTTCGATTCCAGCTGCGGGCCATGTGCCTTGCTTTGGTTTCGACAGTGGTCTCGAGAAGTCGACCGTGCAAGAGCAATGACAAACTGGTCGTAAGTTTGCCTAGAAAAGCCACAGTATCTACACACAAAACAAATGATGGTGGCGGTTCTGCAACGTCCTGTATTGGATACGTAACCAACTTTTTGAATTTGAACTAAACTGACTTTCGACCCCACCAGGACATAAGGTTAGTTACGTATCCTTTACAGAACGTAGCAGAACCAACCTCAACAGCCCCTGGCTGTTGTGTGGATTTTCTAGGCAAATTTATGTCCAGTAGTTTGCCCTTGCCTCTGGACGGTCGGCTTTCTGGATACCACTGTTGAAACCAACGCAAGGCACATGGCCTGTAGCTGGGATCGAACTCGGCATCCCGGCATTACGAAGCATTCGCATCGACTTAGCCCCAAAGCCGACACCAGGACATAACAAAAGCGATAAACACCAGATGACACAAGTGCCACCATGTGGATGGGGATCACCCGTGGAGAGGTCCCATAAACTACGTTCAACCATTAGACCATATTTATGGCCGGGCTATATTGCGGCCCTATGGCAAGAGCCAGGGTAGGATCTCAAAATAACGAACAATTGCATCCCACAAAGGGGTAGGTATCCGACCTGAATTTTTTAAGATTTATATTTTTATATATCTATTCTATAAATTACAAACCCTTTCTGCATTTGTTTGTTTATTATAGACGAAGTATTAACTCCTTCCAGATCGTGGCCAAAACACATGTTTTTAAATTTTAAACAGCTAGTGCGACTACATAGTTTAATGTAACAGCCACATTTGCAGCCCAGGTTATTATGCATTTCTTTATTTATTGCGACAATCAGTAACCTTTTGCTTAGGTTATATTTCTTTGAAAAGTTTTTCTATTACTTTTCTTGAAAACGTTTTTTTTTAAAGTTTCGTTGTTATCCTACTTGTAACCACATATCTATATGTGTCTGAGACAGTTCATTTGTCTCTCTCCCAAACAGTTAAATAATGGTGTTGGTATTACAGGGGTTGTCTAGGGAACACTTAGGGGCAATGACTAAAGATAAGACAACGGCGGAGACAGAGGTGAAGTAGAAGACGGGATACTAAATGTAGGAGATATAGTTAGACCTCTATTTCCACTAGGCTTACATTTAGGACAGTGGCTAAGACCAAGATGAGTTAGAGGACAGGATAATAAGACTTTTTTTTCCCCACTGTCTCGTGCAAAGCCTGACATTTAAATCTAGTGATTATATATAACAACGTAATTAATATTTCAGGTATATTTATTATATTCATTTACCATCTAGCTCGTAAAAATAATTATAACAGTAAAATAAAAGAACCTTTTTTTAATGTGTGCGATAGGGTTACTCCCGCACGCTTGCCACGTGTCTGGGGAATTTAAGTATATAAATGTCTATCAGTGTCTATCCTTATACCCACACACTGGATTCCTTCTATCCACCAATTACGCAGCTTACTTTCCTTGGCTGGGCTTATGCTGATAGTGATTATAAGTGGCGTAATGAAGGGCCAACCCAAAAAAGAGCGCCACTATCAGGCACACGCTACAAGCTAAGATGTCATTAAGTAACTGACAATGTCTACGAGTATGTTCTTTCACAGTACCTCAGTCTTTATTGTGAAGTTAACATTACGAGGAAGATGAAATGCTGATAAATAGCACACCGTCAAGTTTTCTGCTGCCTTCCCAATACTTACATCGGCAGTCACTCCAGACATGGACGAACACCCCTGCGAACTATGTCCCATGTGATTGCTACGGACAACTCCACAACGGACTGCGAAGATACACCGATGTGATGTGCAGTGACAATCCCCTGGTGGTTCGTTCTCCAAACACCCCTTCTATCATTGGGATTCAAAATAGATGCACCTCCTGGTAAAAACTCCAGACCTCCCGTCTGCTATCCCAGTCACTCACTGAAGCATGACTGACTAACCTTCCGTCAGTCATCCTCCAATACCTCCCTCATCACAACTCCCCGGTGGTTAACACACTAGGTCCCCTGGCAGCTTATTTGCCCTTACAGATACCCCATAAACTATGTGTCCCATAGCAGCAACACTGCCGACCACTACTACTACACCGGGCCGATACAAATCCATTCTGGCCAATTACTGACAGAATCTCCAAAAGTCCGACTCACGATACACCACAATAATCCTAGACGGTTCACATGAATTCCACTAATAATAAAACACCTTGCTAAAACACAGTTCATTTAACCAGTGTAATCAAACAACACGTCATACAGTAAGACGAACTGAAAGCACCTGGTCTCACAATACCTGTGGAGACCGCTGCTTACCGTTAATCTCAAGAAACTTTTATCTTACGCGTTAAGTAGCGTGGACTTTTTGCCCTTATCTCAGTTATCATCATCATAATCGGCTTAACCACTAGCGTAGGCGATCATGCCTATGACCTCTGGTACAATTGAACAGCAAAGTAGCTTCATCCCACAAACACTTGTTCACGCCTTTCGGCTGTTGAGCATATTATGCTAGACTTATAGTATATAGACTAATACTCACCTGGTGGGTTATTGACTTCCCCGGACTTGACCTGGTAGCTGTTTGAGGCTAGGTCAACATGGGAGCCAAAGTAATTTTTGAAAAGAATGTGTGGCTCTATTTGGTCTGGAACACAGTAATCACAACAATCCCCAGATCCATTAGATCCCTATAGATGTAATCGCTGAAAATGACATAAAACTGCAAGTAATAATAGCTATCCCTGTCAGTTACTAACACGTATAGGCTGTAAATAATATTGTTGTTTAAATTAGTACTATACTGCATGCAGCAACACGAAACTTAAGGTCTTCAATTCCTGTGTGATCCCAGTGCTAACTTATGGTTGTGAGAGTTGGAAATCATCAGTATCAATCGATAAGAAACTAGTCGCTTTCGAGAATAGATGCCTTCGAAAGCTATTGAATGTTCACTGGTCGGACTTTAGGTCCAATACATCTATAAGACAGGAAACAAAACAAAAATATGTGTCTGATTTTATTAGAATGCGTCGCTGGAATTACATCGGTCACGTACTCAGAATGGACATACAGAGACTTCCCCACCAAGCCTTCATATGGTCACCAGAGGGTAAAAGAAAACAGGGAAGACCAAAAGAAACTCTCCGTAGAACCATCACAAGGGAGTGCTCAACCATAGGTCTCAGTCGCACTCAAGACCTACATCAAGTGGCAACGAACCGACAGACGTGGAAAGCTATGACCTCTGCCCTATGCGCCATCTTTGGCACAAGAGGAATAACTAACTAACTAACTAACTATACTGCATGCAGCGACTGGCATAATCGTAACTGAAAGGAAAAAAACAAACAACAAGGGTATTAGCTTGAACAGCAGGAAAGAAAAAAAAACTTTCAGAAGTAATTGTAATTACACAGAAAATGGATCTATTGAAAATTACACAGAAAATGGATCTATTGAAATGCAGCATCGAAGATAATGGGACAATCCTCAACCGTTAATACTTTTGAGTGCTTTGGCATCATGATAACAACACATGAACGATCTAATAAAGAAGTTAAATATAGAACAGCTCACAGGCAGCATTATTTAAAAAAAAAGGGGGGGGGAGGGGACACCTAAATACCTGATTGTCAGATTTGGCAGGAGTTTTGGTAGCTAAGGGGAACTTTTCTGCCGCCCACAGGTTAAAGAACACTAATTTAATGCCTCACTTTACTTTTACATCTTTACAGAAGATGCATGTGTTCAACAAAACTGCACACAGCTGAGCAACAACTTGACTGAGAGAATCCAAAGTTTGTACTCTGAGAAGACGATCTTGACCAAAGAGCAAGAAGACCTGCTCGGATCCGTAGGTGCAGAAATTCCCGAAAACGACGTCATTATTTTATCTGCTGCCTCAAGTAACCATTACGATGAGATGCAGGCTTTGCTGCACTCCCTCCATAGCATGGTCTTTCCAGAACTGTCGAAGACTGACAACTTCTCGCTGGTTCTGTGGGATATCGGGCTAACTTCAGATGAACGCAAGAAGGTTGGTTGTCTTTAAAATGTCCTATATATTATAGGGATCTTTGACACCGACAACCAAGGTGAAGTGTGATGTGACTAATCGTCCAAAAGTACTGGACAACAACAGCCTCTGTCTAAATATCAAAGCAGGGGATTTAAAACCATTACCAAAATTAAACTATTAAAAAATCTAGCTATATGAACCATCAAACTAAATGAAACATTCAGCTACATGAAACATCCGAAAACATGAAACATCCAGCTATGTAAAACATTAAACTACTAGAAACATCCAATTACAGAAAACATCCAACCATATGAATCAACCAACTATATAAAAATACAATCGCATAAAGCATCCGACTACATAAAACATCCACCTACATGAAATATTCAGTAACATGTAACATCCAAGTACATAAAACATAGATCTACAAGGAACATCCAACTACATGAAGCTTCCAACACAATTAAACATTTAGCTACATGACACATTCAAAAACATCTAGCATCCAAGTACATGAAACATTCAACTATATGAAACATCCGACACAATGAAACATTTAGCTACATGAAACATTCAATCACAGGTAGCATCCAAGTACATGAAACAGCCAGCTATATGAAATATTTAACTACATGACACATTCAACACAAGGAAACATTCAGCTTCATGAAACATTCAATCACATGAGGCATCCAACTACATGAATCCCTAAATCACATGAAGTGTTCAACGACATGAAACATTCAACACAAAGAAAAATTCAGTCTCATGATTAAGTGCGTAAAACATTCAACACAAGGAAACATTCAGCTTCATGATCAACTACATGAAACATTTAACACAAGGAAACATTCAGCTTCATGATCAACTACATGAAACATTTAACACAATGAAACATTCAGCTTCATGATCAACTACATGAAACATTTAACACAAGGAAACATTCAGCTTCATGATCAACTACATGAAACATTCAACACAAGGAAACATTCAGCTTCATTATTAACTACATGAAACATTCAACACAAGGAAACATTCAGCTTCATGATCAACTACATGAAACATTCAACACAAGGAAACATTCAGCTTCATGATCAACTACATGAAACATTTAACACAAGGAAACATTCAGCTTCATGATCAACTACATGAAACATTCAACACAAGGAAACATTCAGCTTCATGATCAACTACATGAAACATTCAACACAAGGAAACATTCAGCTTCATGATCAACTACATGAAACATTCAACACAAGGAAACATTCAGCTTCATGATCAACTACATGAAACATTTAACACAAGGAAACATTCAGCTTCATGGTCAACTACATGAAACATTCAACATAAGGAAACATTTAGCTACATAAAACGTTCAATTACATGAGGCATCCAGCTACATGAAACATCCATCTGCAGGAAGCATCCAACTACACAAAACATCAAACTACAAGAAAGATCTATCTTCATGAAACATGTATGTACATGAGGCATCCAAATGCATGGAACATTCTGCTACATAAAACATCCGAGTACATGAAACATCCAGCACAATGAAGCATCCAACTACATGAAAAATTCAACACATTAAAAATTCAACACAAGGACACAGCCAGCTCCATAAAGATTCAGTCACATAAGGCATACCAACTACATGATACATCCATCATGAAAAGTGCAACTACATAACATCCAGTCACATTAAACATCCAATTACATGAAATATCCAACCACATGCCACATCAAACCACATGCAACATTCAACTGCATGAAACCTCCAGTTAGTTGAAACATCCAACACTATGAAAGATTCAGCTACATGAAATATTTAATCACATGAAGCATCAAACTTTCAACTACATGAAACATTCAACTATATGAAACATCCAGTCACATTAAACATCCAATTACATGAAACATCCAACCACATGCCACATCAAACCACATAAACATCCAGTTACTTAAAACATTCAACACAATGAAACATTTAGCTACATAAAATATTTAATCAGATTAAGCATTCAAGTACGTAAAAAATCCACCAACATGCAGCTTCAACTTGATGAAACATTAAACTACATGAAATATTCAGAACTATGAAACATTACAACACTACATGACACATTCAACTACATGAAATTCCGACTACATGAAACATCCAACTAAATGACATGTCCAACTGCATGAAACATTCAACTACAGGATACATACAATTACTTGAAACATCCAACACAATTACGAATTCGCTACATGAAACTTGTAATCACATGAAGCAGTCAAGTGATTGAAACACCAATCTACACATCGCATTCAACTACATAAAACATCCAACTACATGAAACATTCAACTACATAAAACATTAAACTGCATAAAACATTTAACTACATAAAACATTCAACTACATAAAACATTCATTCACATGCATCATTCAACTACAAGAAACACCCAACCACATGAAAAATTTAACTACATGAAACATCCAACCACATGAAGCATTCAACTACATGAAACATTCAACTACATGAAATATTTAACTACATAAAACATTCAACTACATGAAACTACATGGAATATGCCTCCACTGCATGGGCTGCAGCAGCCAAGACAACAATGTCAAAACTGGGCAAGGTTCAGAATATGTGATTAAGGATTGTTCTCGGAGCCATGAAAACCACCCCCATCAGAGAGATAGAGAGGATAGCAGATACTGAACCACGAGAACTCAGAAGACAATACCAAACTCTTTTCAGTATGAGAAATTAAAAAGACTTCAAAGTCACCCACTGCATTTTAAATTTCAAGAGAGAACAAAAAACAGACTGAAGCGTCAGAGCTCCAACCACCTTGCTAAGGAACTGTACAGACAGCACCAAGTTCTGCTTGAAAGATATATAGCACTGTGCGAAAAACTTAGGCCAGAACCATGGACAAGCAAGCCAGAGAAGGCAAATGTAGTCATAAAGGTATCAGGGATCACTTCAAAAGATGCCCAGACGGAGACACAACAGAAAACCCTGGCTCTTGCTATCCTTGATGAGAAGTATCCAAACACCACTTGGACTCAGGTTTTCACCGACGGCTCTGCTACAGATGCAGTCAGAAATGGGAATATACATTAAACCCCCTAGCAGTAGAGCAGAAACTCTCTCTCTACTAGCAGGCGACAACTGCACTAAATTCAGAGCTGAGGCAACTGCCCTCCTTTCTGCAGTCCAACATCTCATCACTCAAAAATACAGAGGGCACACAGTTGTTATACTTAGTGACTGATTTTCTGTCCTCCAAGCACTATCACTATCAAGCAAAAAAAAAAAAAAAAAACAAGACAAATTAATTGCAGATCTAAGGACCAACATTGGCTTACTCTCCAAGGAAGCAGAACTGGTCTTGCAGTGGATACCAGCCCACTGTGGTATTTAAGGAAATGAGAGAGCATATGAGTTGGCAAAAGCTGGGAGTAATCTTCCACAACCTCATCCACCACACAGCTACAAGGAAACCAAAACAGCGCTAAAGCAGTCTTTCAAGCGGGAGTGGAGAAGACAGAATGGAGATTACAGACCAGAGAGTGACAGCATAAACAAACTCAACAGGAAAGAACAAACATCAATTTTTAGACTTCGGACAGGACACTATTGTCTTCGAGCACACCTGTACAGGATAGGCATAAAAGAATCTGCTGCCTGTGATTGTGGAGCAGAAAGACATACCCCTGAGCACATACTGCAGTACTGCCCTTTCCTCTCCCAGCAAAGACAGTGGATCTGGCCCAGGGGATCCACAATGCGAGAGAAGCTATGGGTGACCGGTGGCGACCTTAAACGCACAATCCTATTTTTGACCCAGACTGGACTCAATTTTTAGCATGACTGATGTCGAACGCAGAGGAAGAAAAAAAAACTACATGACACATTCAGCTACATGAAATATTCAACTACGTGAAATATTCAACTATGTTAAACATGCAACTACATGAAATATTTAACTACATGAAATGTTCAGCTACACGAAACTTTCAACTACATGAAATATTTAACCACATAAAACATTCAACTACATGAAACATTCAACTAAATGAAACATTCAACTACATAAAATATCAAACTACATGAAACATTCAACTACATGAAATATTCAACTACATAAAACATTCAACTACATGAAACATTCAATTACATGAAATATTTAACTACATTAAATATTTAACCACATAAAATATTCAACTACATAAAACATTCAACTACATGAAACATTCGACTACATAAAATATTCAACTACATAAAACATTCAACTATTTGAAACATTCAACTATATGAAACATTCAACTACATGAAATTTTCAACTACATGAAATATTCAACTACATGAAACATTCAATTACATGAAACATTCAACTACGTGAAACCTTCAACTACATGAAACATTTAACTACATGAAACATTCAACTACATGAAACATCCAGCTTCTGGAAACATTCAAGTACACGAAACATTAATCTACATGAAGCATTCAAGTACATGAAACATCCAACAACATAAAACATCTGAGTACATGACATTTATTCACATTAAAACATGCTGTTAAATAAAACATTCAATCACATTAAGCATCTAAGTACATGAAAAATCCAACATCATGAAATATTCAACTACATGAAACACACAGGTACACGAAACATCCAAATGCATGTAACATTTAGCTATTTGAAACATTGATCTACATGAAACATCCAGTCATGTAAAACATCCAACTATATGAAAAATCCAACTACATGAAATATCCAACTACCTGAAACAATCAGCAGCATAAATCTTGAAACTACATGAAACAGAAAACTACCTGATTTATCCAACACTATAAAACATTAAACTACATGACACATGCTACTACACAAAACATCCAACTATATGAAACATCAAACTACATAAAATATCCAACTACATGAAACATCCAACCACATGACATATGCAACTGCATGAAACATGCAACTACATGAAACATCCAATTACTTGAAACCTCCAACAATGAAACATTTAGCTTCATGGAACATTCAATCACATGAAGCATCCAGGAAAATGAAACATCAATCTACATAAAACATCCAACACTTTGTAGCATTTAACTCTATGAAACATCCAACTAAATAAAACCTCCAAGTATATCAAACATTCAACACAGATTAGACTGTGGGCAGGTCTATTAAGGTAGGGGAGTTTATGTTGTTATGAGATAGACAGACAGACAGACAGACAGACAGACAGACAGACAGACAGACAGACAGACAGACAGACAGACAGACAGACAGACAGACAGACAGACAGACAGACAGACAGACAGACAGACAGACAGACAGACAGACAGACAGACAGACAGACAGACAGATAGATAGATAGATAGATAGATAGATAGATAGATAGATAGATAGATAGATAGATAGATAGATAGATAGATAGATAGATAGATAGATAGATAGATAGATAGATAGATAGATAGATAGATAGATAGATAGATAGATAGATAGATAGATAGATAGATAGAGTAGATAGATAGATAGAGAGAGAGAGAGAAGAGAGAGAGAGAGAGAGAGAGAGATAGATAGCATAGATAGATAGATAGATAGATAGATAGATAGATAGATAGATAGATAGATAGATAGATAGATAGATAGATAGATAGATAGAGAGAGAGAGAGAGAGAGAGAGAGAGAGAGAGATAGATAGATAGATAGATAGATAGATAGATAGATAGATAGATAGATAGATAGATAGATAGATAGATAGATAGATAGATAGATAGATAGATAGATAGATAGATAGATAGATAGATAGATAGATAGATAGATAGATAGATAGATAGATAGATAGATAGATAGATAGATAGATAGATAGATAGATAGATAGATAGATAGATAGATAAATTAGATAGATAGACAGATAAAGTTTTAGTCGTACTTATCCTGTGTATACTTGTCATACAGTGTCGACATCTGCACCCCAGCTTGTTCCAGTAAGTTTCTTCATAGTCTGAGCCTCAGGGTAGCTTTCATTCGGGTGTGGGGGCTCCAGGTTTAAATTATTGTTGAATTTTACTCGCAAATGTGTGGGGGTATCCTCTTTTGTAAGGTTGTTACCTTCTAGGTGCAGATCAACTTTCTCTGGCTTTGTGGAAAGAGAGAAGAGAGTTGAGACGGTTTTGGTGTGGTTTATTGTGACTCCCCAAGAGTCTGTCAATTTCTTTACTGTATTTATAGCTTTCTGCCTTTTTATTTTAGTTTTTGGAAGGTCATTGATGAAAAGAATAAACAGGGTAGATATAACACCTCCCTGGAGGACACCCTTTTTAACCTGACCAGCTTGCTCTTTGTGTTCCTTCAGTCCGACTCTCGTGCAGCTTTCGTAAAGAAAGTCTCTAGTACAGGCGAATTTTAACTTTAATTTTTTTCTAGTCGTTATTAGCATAGATTTTGTTTTACTTATGCTTTTTTGCATATGGTCTGCACTGCTCCATTTGACTACATTATTTTACTCTAGTCCTAATGACAACTCTAGTACATTACAAGTCTGAGCATTTGTATTGATGGTACAGTCGTCTATGAATAAATCACAGGACAACGATAGACAAAAGGGAAGTTCATTCATGTAAATACCGAAAAACAGAGGATCAAGAATCGAGCCTTGAGGCACATCATTATTTAGGGCAGTGGTCCGCCATAATAATTTATTGTAAGAGATTATTTGCTTCCTATTTAACAAACAAAAAAAAAAACAACAACTTTTTTTTTTTTTCAAAATTTACTATCTATCGATAACGACAACGATTTTATTAACTTTAAATTTCCATGATTAAATTTTATTGTTTCAAATTCTCTTATAAGACTGATATAGTTCAGCATGTCAAAAGATTTCTTAAAGCTGATAAATACCCCTCCACATATTTTCTCATCTTTGATATTTTAATGAAAGTTTTCTGTCATGGTTTTCAGGGCTGACTGATTATCCACTATAAGTCTGTAATGATGCAAATGTTGAAATGTTACATTGTGAATATGTTTCTCTAGTGGTTTCGACGGTGACGCTAACAAGGAGATCGGTCTATAGTTACCTGAAATACTACTTCTAAGGAACGAGATGTTAGATGTGGATAAACTTTGGAGACCTTAAATGCTGGTGGGATGTAGCCTTTAACAAGACATTGGTTGTAAATAAAGGTCAACAACTCGCACATAATTGGTGCAGCACTATTGCTGATTCCGTCTAAACCGGATGCATTACTTTATCTCAGACTGTTATAAAAGCGTTTTAATTAACTTTTCCAAACAGCCAGTGTGTGTTTAGTTTCATATCTGTTACAGGCCGTTGCAAAAATAATCCAGTAATTTTCGGTCGTTTGGTTTACTAGGAACTTTAACGTTCTGTAGATTGTCATTGACACTAAACGGTATGCTCTCAAAACCAATGCCTGCTGTCAAATCAGCCGCATCTGGAACTAAACCTTGTATTTCTGAATTATAAAACGCGTTCGCAACGCTGAAGCCACAGACACAGAAGCACCTATTGCATTGTCATAGTTTTTTAAAACAATATGACGCTTACAGAAATTAGTAACGTAGCTTATTGAAAAGAATGTAATGTTTTGATAAAGTATCAGTTTTTTAAAATGAAGAATGTGTTTTCCTAATTAAGGATGTGGTATTTATTAATTTAGTCATTATTAATTATTCAACAGATGGAAAAATGCTGTCGCTGTCAAGTGATTTCGTTTCCCTTCGAGAAGTTCCCGATTCGAGTCAAGGATCTACATACTTTTATGTGGAAACCATTGATTATTCGTGTGAGCATTATTACAAACAAACCTATTTACCTAATTGAAAATATGATCTTAACTCTTTCCATCCCAAGATATTATTACAGTAACCCCTTCTATTCCGAAAAGTAGAGGCTTAAAGACAACGAATACCTCTAATGGAGTTAAACAGACATACTATGGGGCAAAGGTAGGTAGATTAACAGTTCAAATACAGAAGACGAAGACGAAGAAGAAGAAGAAGAAGAAGAAGAAGAAGAAGAAGAAGAAGAAGAAGAAGAAGAAGAAGAAGAAGAAGAAGAAGAAGAAGAAGAAGAAGAAGAAGAAGAAGAAGAAAGAAGAAGAAGAAGAAGAAGAAGAAGAAAAGAAGAAAAGAAGAAGAAGAAGAAGAAGAAGAAAGAAGAAGAAGAAGAAGAAGAAGAAGAAGAAGAAGAAGAAGAAGAAGAAGAAGAAGAAGAGAAGAAGAAGAAGAAGAAGAAGAAGAAGAAGAAGGAAGAAGAAGAAGAAGAAGAAGAAGAAGAAGAGAAGAAGAAGAAGAAGAAGAAGAAGAAGAAGAAGAAGAAGAAGAAGAAAAAAGAAAGAAGAAGAAGAAGGAAGAAGAAGAAGAAGAAGAAGAAGAAGGAAGAAGGAAGAAGAAAGAAGAAGAAGAAGAAGAAGAAGAGAAGAAGAAGAATAAGAAGAAGAAAGAAGAAGAAGAAGAAGAAGAAGAAGACGTGAGAAGAAGAAGAAGAAGAAGAAGACAGAAGAAGAAGAAGAAGAAGAAGAAGAAGAAGAAGAAGAAGAAGAAGAAGAAGAAGAAGAAGAAGAAGAAGAAGAAGAAGAAGAAGAAGAAGAAGAAGAAGAAGAAGAAGAAGAAGAAGAAGAAGAAGAAGAAGAAGAAGAAGAAGAAGAAAAAATAAAAGAAAAAGGAGAAGGAGGAGGAAGAAGATAGGGATGAGGGGAACATGTGGGGAGTGGGGAGTGGATCATTTGTATAAGAACAGATTGAAAGTACACGAAAAGGAAAGGGGAGGGGGTTCTGGGTGAAGGCACGGGCTGGCTAAGGCCACGATATCGGACTGTCCTGCATATTCTTTCTGTCTCTGTTCCTCTGTCTCTCTGTGTGAGTCTCTCTCTGTCGCTGTCTGTCTGTCTTTCTCTACCCCCCCCCACCCCCGTCCTGTAACTTAATTTTGGAACTGATAACTGCGATGATTCTCTTTTATCTTCTACTGGCTCGCCTCATCGCACGCTCGCTGCCAACTCACAAAACCGACATCACACTCGAGCAGAAAAAATGGACGACTGGAAAAACACACGATACTGTTCCAGTACTTTTAATCTTCCACTCGCGGCTTACACAGCCGGCACATGAACTTGACAACTGTCCAGTCACACATTATAATGCAAGAATCAATTATTACCTTCAAGCAGAAATCCCAATCGATTTACCGAACATCGTAAACGAAACACAACAGCTTGTCCTGGACAGATACACTCAGACGACCGGCAGACATTATTATGGCCAG